TTAAAAAGTAATTTTAAAACCTTTCATAAACCCTCTCCAAATAAAAATATTGTTGACAGTAAAAAAACCACATCAAAGAGAAATAATAGTGTGAATTACTTTTTCTTTTCATTTGTCAATAGTAAGACAATAGAAGGGCTAGCATTCATATAGTAGAAGTAGAAGTGCCTGCAGAAAATTTAATTGTCGTCGTAACATTTCTAATGTTTGAGATTTTCCTAAGAAATGAAAACCAAAAGCTTTTTCCTATACAAACCATTGTTAACTTTTGACATGTAATCTGGTCGATGTTCCCATATTAATTCATACTTCTCAAAAAAAAAAAAAACAAGCATTAATTTTTTTTTCCGTTTAAGTAGTCTAGATATCAACTTATTCCCCAAATAGGGTTCTCAGTTATTTTCACGAATAGAAAAAGGCCAAGTCCACTGAAATAGTATACTTCCACATACTTTCTTACCGAACACTTTTATACGTAAGACCGATGAACTTATATAATCACTACTTTGAAACTATGCTAAACAAATTTTAATCCAAATGTTATACGTGGTGTTGAATATTGTGTACAATGATGTTCTCAGTTCTCACTGTGGCTTAAAATCTTTAAAGAATCATGTGTTGCTACTTATAAGAAGCCCAATGGTATTTATATAGTCCGATATTATTGGCGACGAGCCAATTGACATATTGAATGTATAAAGTTTCATTAGACTGTAAATTTTCTTCGAAAAACAAGATGGAAAAGGTTGTCAAACAGTGACTTCAAATCAAAGTATTGTATAAGTCATATCATACCTTGTATCTAGAATTTTGTCCTACGTAGTCATAACCTACTCTTGGGCCAAACTCATCAAGCTTAGCTTGCAGCCTTAAAATATATGATTTAATTTCGGTTTTACCGTCAAAACTGTTATTTTTGGTCTTAAGGGTATACAATATCTCGAGTTCGAGCCGAGAGACCGTCGTTGTCGGGTATCAATCGAGATTTTATCTTTAGCCTCGTTCTTTCCCAACCAAATGAAACTCATCTCCTTCTTCTTCATCACTTCGCCTATGTTTTGCTTCCGAATTGCGACATAAGTTTTTAGTCGATTCAGGTTTGTCACATGATATATCCCCAAGCCTTTACAACCAAAATCTAATATATTGGTAGTCAATGAGAAACTTCAAGGCTTTGAACACTATATACAACACAATCTATGTAGATCAATTTCGGATGACAACGTATCTCATGCAAGACAGCAAATGAAGTGTGGGAAGCTTTGGAAACCACTTATGAATTCATATAGAAGGTTAAACAATATAAACTTATTATGCCATAAATCTGGATTGATAGTTACTTAACACAGCCATATAGCTCAATTGCGGAGTTCCACAAAGAATTGAGACGTTTGCGAATGAATCTTTTTCCCTTCCATAAACATATTCAATGTTCAACATGGTTATGAAAGATCTTGACATATTCTTCTGATATGTTAGCTCCAAAGAAGACTGCAATGATTAAATCAAATGAGGATGAAGCTTGAAGAGCTTATTGTTTCCCCTAATACGTGCTAAATTAAATAGAGATGCAGTTTCAAAATCAGAATAAAGGTCTGGCTGAAAGAGCAAGAAGCCTTGCTTTTGTCACAACCGAAATAAATGTGAATAGGAGGATGAAAATCTTGAGACACTCACTAAGAAGATAAGGAGATACCTGAAGAAACTATAGTTACTAAAAGATAAGAAGCTACAAAAATATAGTAGCAATTATGGCAGAAGAGATGAACAAGGCAAAGAAAAAAGATTGGTTCAACGTCAAGGGTTTCATGGTTGTGGGCACATTAAGTGAAAAGTCTTAAACAAAAGGAAGAGTTTCTTAATGAAACATTAAGTGAATCGGAGATAGAAAGTGACGAATACGATGTTTCACACAACACCATAATTTCTTTTGTTGCTGAAATAGAAGAGCTTGTCAAAATAGAGCATAGGAAAATAGAGCCGGTTCTATGATAACAAAAGTTGTTGATAACATATGAAAATCTATTGTAGAATTTTTATTGACACTTGCAGATAAAATTATAGACGCTTGCAGCTAAAATTATTTGTTTATATAAAAGATATAAATGTTAGGAAATACAGATCTAATTAATTTCTTCTCAAGAACACGAAAATAAAGCAAGAAATAAAGTGCATACAAGATTTATATATAGTGGTTTACTCGTAAGAGCTACGTCCACTTTCTGCCGCTGTAGATTTCACTACGATAAAAAAAATCAAGAGCTACAAGTTCTCGTAATCTCTCGCTCTATCTTCAATAAAACCATAGAGACGATTACAACAAATATATATAAAGAAAAAACCTAGGACAACCAAACATGGGCCGAAAATATCTAAAATACCCTTACCATAACGTTTCCCAGACATCCATACGTTCATATACAATAAAAAAAAATCTGTCATACGTTCATAGAGTAGCACAATATCAGCCATACGTTCACATAAAATAGAACCGTATAGTCATACGTTCATAAAATAGAACAAACGTTCATTTTTCAAAGAGAGGAGGGGGGTCAGTTGACCCCCATAAATTTAATAATTTTTTGTTTACGAGCTTATGTTATCAGTATTAATTGAATCATTTCGCTTAAAATATTTAATATGACCCCCACGTTTTAGTTCACATTGTTCTTTTGCACCTCTTATTCAATTTTTTTTTATAGTTCAAATAGAACAAATTGTTTTTTTAGGTTTTTAATACGTATTATATAACTCTTCATCTTTTTTCCATATATTTTCATGTTTTCTTTTTTTACTTATTTTTATTTCTTCTCTCTCTCTAGATATAAATTAAAAAGATTTATAATTTATGATTTATGGAGTCTATAGAAATAACATTATTCTTAATGGAAAAAATCCAATAGCAATACATATTCTTAAAACAAAATCAGCAAATATTTAAAAATATTTTTTTTGCAACGGTTAAATATATGACCCGTAACAAATATTTCTGGCTCCGCCACTGAGTCCTTCCCCTCTTTTTCTCCTTCCTCTCTCCTCGATTTCAGTAGATCTAGGTTTTCAAATTTTCTTTTTATTGCCTTTAGAGCTTAATCGCCGGTCGAGATACAAATCTTCCTTTGCAACCAAACCAAGAACATCCATCATTGTCACCAACTTGACTACATGGGATAAAATTTATGTATAGTCAATACCCTCTTTTTGTTGGAATCCTTTCACAACCCGCCTCGCTTTATAGCGTTTACTTCAATCTTGTTTTTCCTTAATCCGGTAGATCCACTTATTATGCAACACCTTTTTTTCCACATGTAACTCGGTCAAATTCCAAGTATGATTGAATATATGCGAATCCATTTCATCTTCTCTTGTCAACTCCCACTTAATCGACTTTTCCACTTGTAATGCTTCTTCGTAGCATTCAAGCTCACCTGTCTGTGAATAACACGTAGTGAAGAGAAGGGGAGTACCTTACAACATGCTTTATAACCCTTGTAGTTCGCTGTAAACCTGTAACAGGCGTATGTGGAATGACTATTGTCTCATCATTCCTATCTACCTCAATATCATCTCCCTGAGCTTCTTGCTCTTCTGCTGCTACGGTATCCTGCAACTTTAGTATTAGGATATCTCCCAAATCAACAGCCCCAGACTCTTTGCTTTCTGAGCCAACCTTTAGCTTATATATCCTTGTATAATGCTTCTTCCTTGAATACAACATTCCTGCTGCAAATGATCTTCCGATTTTGGTCACCCAAGAACCGATAACCAAACTCGGTGTCACCATAACCAATAAAGTAACACTTGTTAGATTTTGCATCAAGTTTACTTCTTGCAACATCATCAATATGAACATAAGCTAAATAACCAAACACTTTCAGAAAAGAAAGATTTACCTTCTTACCACACAAAACTTTGAGATTAGTCTCATTCTCAACCATGGCTTTCCATCTCATGAAAACCGAGAATACTTTAAACTTGTTCTTCATAAGTAAACCCATACCTTTATAGGGGAGTCATCAATAAAGGTCACATAGTAGTAATCAATAAAGGTTCTTCCAACGATGCAACAGGCGCAGGTCCCCACACATCACTGTGTATTTCTCAGTTTTCAACTTCCTGCTATCACTTGAAAATTCTTTTTTTAATATATAGAGAATTTCAAATCAATTAATTTGTCAAATTTTGAAATAGCTAAATTAGGAAATAATAGAGCTATTTAAAAGTATAGAATTAAGAGATATGTAGGTGTTTTTGGTCAGTGATTTAAAGAGAATGGAGATAGGGAAATTAGTGTTTGGTTAAAATGATAAGAGAATTAAAAACAAAATTAATGAGAAAAATTGTCGGCTTGCCACAGGAACAACCAAAACCCTCTTTTAATATATAGAGGATAATAGCTAAAATATAATAGCCTAATTATGTGCTTTTCAATTTATGATTATTATAAAATAAATTCAATATTCAAAAAATAGTTTTGGAATATATGTAAATTTTGTATATCCTACCAAATTTGATAAAATCATTAAAATTGACTTTAATGGGATATATTTGAAGATACTTCATGGTTCTTAAATTTATTCAACTAAAAAAAAATAGAAAGAAATTAGATATTAAGAAAATTTTATTTCTATCATAGAAAAATATATACAAAAATTTGGAGTTTCTAAATTTATTTCTAATTTGTTTCATAATTTCTATATTGCGATTTTTTCACACGTGTCGCAATCTTGTAATAGTTATCAAATGTTGCGATTGCGACACGTAGCTACAAACCAAAATAAATGCTTGTGGTGTGTTTGGTTTGGTTCAATACACCAAACAAACACACCATCATTCAAACCCAGAATTTCTCCATTACCAAGAAAGCTCTTTTTCATCGCTAAGAGATCTTCAAATTTAGATTTCACCCAAAAAAAGGTATGAAATTTTGCATTTTTTTCCCTGCCAGATTTTTGGAATAATCGTATCATAGTCTCAAGATCACATCTTTATGTAATAATACCAAATCTAAGAAAAAACAAACATTTAAATCTTGTAGGAACATATTTGAGTAAGAGCTTCTTCTCCGCCATGGATTTAGCTTGAAAGGTCTCAACAAAAAACACAAAATCGTCGATTTCGCTGCAAAACTCGTTAAACCCATTTCGCTCCTCGTTGTTAAAAATGGGTTCTTCTCACATTCCTCTTGATCCGTCTCTAAATCCGTCACCTTCACTAATCCCAAAGCTCGAACCAGTCACTGAATCAACCCAAAACTTATCCTTTCAACTTCCAAACACAAACCCAGAAGCCCTAATTTCATCACCCATCTCCAATTTCAACGAAAGCACAAACCTTTCCTCAGATTACAACAACGTCGCCGAGACATTCCGGTCCGCTTTCGCTCAACGTCTTAAACGTCACGATGATGTTACGGTTCTTGATTCCTTAACCGGAGCAATCGTACCGGTTGAGGAGAATCCAGACCCGGAACCGATTCCGGTTTCTTACTCAACCAATGACGCTTCACCGTCGGTTGTTGTTACTCGACGGCCTAAGCCACAGCAACGTTCGTCGGAGCTAGTGAGGATTACTGATGTTGGACCTGAAGGTGAGAGACAGTTTCGTGAACATGTGAGGAAGACGAGAATGATTTATGATTCACTTAGGATGTTTTTGATGATGGAAGAAGTTAAACTTCATGGGTTTGGTGGAAGAAAAGGTAGACCTGATAGTAAAGCTGCTTCATTGATGAAAGATTGTATGTTATGGTTGAATCGTGATAAACGAATCGTCGGTTCGATTCCCGGTGTTCAAGTTGGGGATATCTTCTTCTTTAGGCTTGAGTTATGTGTTATGGGTTTACATGGACAAACACAAGCTGGGATTGATTATCTTACAGGGAGTCTTAGTTCTAATGGAGAGCCAATTGCTACTAGTGTGATTGTTTCAGGTGGGTATGAGGATGATGATGATCAAGGAGATGTGATTATGTATACAGGTCATGGTGGGCAAGATAAGCTTGGAAGGCAAGCTGAACATCAGAAGTTGGAAGGTGGGAATCTTGCGATGGAACGGAGTATGTATTATGGGATTGAAGTTAGGGTGATTAGAGGGTTGAAGTATGAGAACTCGGTTTCTAGTAAAGTTTATGTTTATGATGGGTTGTTTAGGATTGTTGATTCTTGGTTTGATGTTGGGAAATCTGGTTTCGGTGTGTTTAAATATAGGCTGGAGAGGATTGAAGGGCAGGCTGAGATGGGTAGTTCGATTTTGAAGCTTGCTAGGACTCTTAAGACTAATCCATTGTCCGTGAGACCGAGTGGTTACATCAGTTTTGATATCTCGAATAGGAAGGAGAATGTTCCTGTATATTTGTTTAACGACATTGACAGCGATCAAGAACCTTTGTATTATGAGTACCTTGCAAAAACTTCGTTTCCCCCTGGTTTGTTTGTTCAAAGAAGTGATAATGCTAGTGGATGTGACTGTGTCAAAGGTTGTGGCAGTGGCTGTCTCTGTGAAGCCAAGAATTCAGGTGAGTTTGCTTATGATTATCATGGGAAGTTAATAAGACAGAAACCGTTGATACATGAATGTGGACCGGCATGTCGGTGCCCTCCAACCTGTCGAAACCGTGTGACTCAAAAGGGTTTGAGGAATAGACTAGAAGTGTTTAGGTCACTGGAAACGGGATGGGGAGTTCGGTCTTTGGATATATTACATGCTGGTGCTTTTATTTGTGAATATGCTGGGGTTGCTTTGACAAGGGAACAAGCCAACATTCTGACCATGAACGGTGATACATTGGTATATCCTGCTCGGTTTTCCTCTGCGAGATGGGAAGCTTGGGGAGATTTGTCTCAGGTCCTGGCTGATTTTGAGCGGCCTTCTTATCCTGAGATTCCTCCTGTTGATTTCGCAATGGATGTGTCCAAGATGAGAAATGTTGCTTGTTACATTAGCCACAGTACTGATCCGAATGTCATTGTCCAGTTAGTACTCCATGATCACAACAGTCTGATGTTCCCTAGAGTCATGCTTTTCGCTGCTGAAAACATCCCTCCCATGACTGAGCTCAGCCTTGATTACGGAGTAGCTGATGATTGGACCGCCAAGCTTGCCATTTGTAATTAAAATTCTCCCGTTAAATGGTGGTTCTTGGCCATATTTTTCCAGGTAAAACTAAGTTAATGGTTAATAAGTTTCACAGATTAAACCTTTAGTATCATGTTAGTTAACGTTAAGAAAAATCACAAGCATGAAATGGTTGCAAATGGGTCTTGCATAGGCTTGTGACTTGTTACAGCCTTACAGGTTGTATTGTGATATCAATGGTGTCTGATTTCATTTTTAACACGGTTTCTGCAAAACCAAAGATGTGGTTTGATGTTAAGAGTCCTATTGTTCGTCTGAATTCGATAAATATTGGTTTCTTGCAGATTGTAATAAGCACAAGCTGAGACTGAATCGTTTACTGTTTTGTTTTGCTAGTTGGTGACATGAAGAATGAAGCAAAGGAATTGTGCAGAAGCTAAGGTTTAAGAAACCCCACTCCTCCCATTTTGACTTTCAACGTTTGGGAGTCTTTAAGTTTTTTTTTGGGGTAATAGTGTACAAAACTCAAAAGATGTTTGTTTTGTCTGTACTGTTTTGCTCTTGTGTTTGTCTCGTATTTATCAAGTAAAACAAATGTTAACCATCTCTCTTTGTCTCTCTTTCTTGATTAGTTGGTATTAGATGATGAATTATCACCATATATTTTAATTCAAAGATTCCTATGTATTTGCCGAAAAGAAGAAACTGAACAATGATTCCTATATCCCTTATAAGGAAAATTGGTTCACAATTTCTGCCTATGATCAATTCACAACCAGCAAGTTTCATTATCAATCCACAATCTATTCTCAACATCTGAAAAAATGAACTCTTTCTGATTTGAATTCTTATAATTCTTAAAGTCAATTATAAGTAATAACACTGACAAAAAATATTGTTTCTAACAAGTGTAGTGTACGTAAAGAAGCTATGATCTTAGACTTAGAGTATGATGGTCATGTATTAGTGGCATGATGCAACCAATCGAACCAAACCGGAGGATATTAAAGAGGATAAGATTTCTTAACTTGAAAATACATGAAAGTGCAAATAGTTTACTTAAATTAATAAGTTAAAAGAGTTGAATGAGCATTTATCTAATTCTTTACCATTTAAGATGAATAAGTTGAAAAATTGATTCAACTTATTCTGAGGAATGAATTGAATGTTATACAACTTTTGTTTGTTTCAACTTAATCTTTTTCAATTATTCATCTCAATACAACCATTTGCAGTTATTGATTCATGTTCTTTGTATCTTTTAACTAAACTAGTTTACCAAAATGGCAATATTTCAATAGTCCAAACAATGATTCAATTAATGTTATATATTTTTAACAGAATGATAATTATATTTTATGCTCCCTCTATTTCATAATTTATAAGTCGTTTTGGAGAAACTTTTTGTTTTACATTATAAGACGTTTTCAAGTTTCTATGAAAACAATGATTCAATGAAAGATTTTCAGCTAAATCTTCTTCATCAGCAAGATTTTCATCAAAATCTTCTCTAGCAGAATTTCCTTCAAAACTCATGTTCTAAGAGGATGACACGTGGCATCTCTCCTTTCTTTATAAATATAGTGTTTTCTTTTTTTGCATTCCCTGAGCTATAGCAATATAAGTCCGAGCCAAAATCACGTTCTCATTTTAATATATAACAAGGAAGATCCGGAGAAAGAGGAGATCCGGTGGTATTGAGTTCAAACGAGAGAGAAAGGAAGAGTGGGAGAAATTAATAAGAGATTCGAAATAAAATAGATATCAGATGAGAAATAGTATGTTCTTACTATTTCTTTTTATTTTTCCGTATACAGAGAGATTAACATGTTTTAGAGTCATTGTTTGATCGATTAATCCGACAACATATAAAATCTTTTGATGTAGAGATCATTCGTGTAACTTTCTAACTGCTTTGTTAGATTGACTAGATCAACAACAAACTTTTGAGTAAAAGTATTTGATTGAGAAATCCAAATCCGAGAAAAAAACTTACGAAGAGAAAGAAACCAAAATCCATTACCATATCAATGCTGCTCAGGGTAGAACGAACCTCAAGCTGACATTTGCTAGAACAACTCAGCCTGGACACCAAATCTATCAGCATACGGTATTTCTCGGTCAAATTGGTGATTTGTTGGGATATAGAGTCATCCTTTTGAGGTGGCTTGCCATCTCTAAGATGTAAATAGCCGCTTCTTTCTCTGCTTCTGTTTTCTTGTATCCAATCCACTCAACAGTTTCGAGACTCGACACCAAACATTCAGGAACACAAAACGGCTGCTTCCACTGAGCTTCAAAATCTCTGAAGCTGCCGCAGTTTCGCTGAGATATAAACAAAATGAGATTCAAAGGGTGGAAACATGAAGCTGCAAAAGTTTTAATGTATATAGCAAATAACTTACATTATTTAACCTCAGAACTCGCAGTTTAGGGGAATGGCTGAGTAGAAGACATAACCAATCTGATGAACATTTAGTACATAGCTCTAGATACTCGAGCTGACAGAGAAACTCACAAGATTTTGCCATTAAGACTGATCCCGCTGAGGTAAGACATAAGGAGAGGTATTTGGATGAGGTTAGACATCCCATAATCTTATTAGAGTCCTCTTGTCTAATCTTGATTTCTGCATTCACCAGCTTCGGCATTTTCACTAATGAACGAAACCGACTAAATTTATCTAGAACTTTTAAAGTCTTTAGAGAAGGAGTACTGACGACATACTCGCGACCATCTGTTGTTCCATGGAAATCTGGTCTTCGCATGATATGTAAGCTTTGCAATGACGGGATCGCAATTGTGAAGATCGTCACACAGTCCACGAGCCATCGCCGAACAATCAGTGTTTCAAGGACAGGGCAAGCGGACAAAAGCCTATGAACATGTTCATCCCCAGAGAGGAATTCAACACACAGAAGGGAGAGATTCTTGAGGGACTGGAGAAAGATTGTGGAAGGAATATCCCAAATCATTACTTGTTGAAGGCGTAAAGTCACAAGGCCTTTACATGTAAACAAGCTCTTAGGACAAGGCATGGGTTTAAACTGGCAACGGTAATGGATAAGCTCAAGAACACGCACGTGTCTAGCTACTGCAATATCAACCCATCTTTCATGTTCTTGAGGTTCACAATCATCCCCAAGTCTGAGATGCATTGTTTCTAGAACTGGAGCCTTGCTTAGCAGTAGAAAATTGTTTACAAAATCTGAACCTGTCGGGTACAATGGAGTACCATAGTCAAGCCTTGGAACCATTTGACAAAAAACTTGTGGCTATAGCTTCTTTCGTCTTAAGCAATGACAGTATCTTCACGAGTAAATCGTCACTCAGCTCACAAATACTGCTCATATTAAACCAAACTTCAAATCTCCTCTGCTAGCTCTAAATCTTCAGAACAATTCACTATAATCAGATAAAACCCTAGCGAATCTTAAAAAAAAAAAAAAAAAAAAAGACAGCTGATCAAATCAAGGAAGAGCCCTAATCAAATCAAGGTTCACGATCATAAAACTTCATAAATTCTACGAGAAAGAACTAACCTTTTTCTCTATCTTTGAGCTAAGATCAGATTCTGTTTGGTTTGATTATAAACTAGGTTATTAACCCCCACGTTATTATTTTTAGGAACCACCATCCACACTAATTATATTTTCCTTGTTTGATTTTTTTTTGGTGAGTATATTTTCCTAGTTTGTAGAAGTAACAACTCCCATCTCTTATTTCTTCTTTTTTTTACAAGAACAAAACAATAAAAAAATTGGACCTAATCAATTGAAATTATTAAAAAATAATATTAAAAATAGTCTTAGATTGAGTTTTCAAATTATATGGGAAAGAAGAAAAATAAAATTTTTGGCTTTTTTAAATTTTCCTCGGTGAGGAGACTTAAATAATAATAAAAAAAAAACTGAAACAGAAGAATAAATTGAGGGAGAGAGAGTTTAAGAACTTAAAAAATTAATAGTCATAGGGCTTGACTGGTTTAAACGCAGCGGTTGCAGTTGCGCTTGTGGGAGTTTGCGGAAGTGGACGAGTACGGTTTAAAGCGTTATTTAGCATTTTCACCGACTGATTTAGTGGTTGAAAAAGTAAGCATTTGCGAGAGATTTACGACTGGTTGATCGGCGGATACGATAGCGGCTAAAGCAAAATTTACCGAAATAAATATAATATATAATTTTGAAAAGGTATAAAACACCAAAATTATATTTATGAAAAATATAAATAATTAAATAATAATTATTCAAATATTAAGAAATAAAATTTATAGTGAAACAAAATTAATTAATTCTATTGGAAAATTAAAATTACATAATGATTACTTTTTCGAGAATTAACATGAATGGCAAATTCAGTTAATTATTTATGTATTCTATCTGCAATCATATATTTTTTTAATAAAAAATAGGACTTGATAATATATATTTTAATTGGCTAAGTTTCTTTTTTTTACTTTTTTTCCTTTTTTAAACCAACTGCAACTACCCGCAACCGCAAACGCTTGCGGGATAGAGCTTTTGAAATCCGGCGATTTCGAGCGGTCCGAAGCTTTATGGAGCTGTTTCCATGATTGGTACAAACCGCTAACAACCGCAATAGAGCGCAAACAACCGATAGGCGGATGGTAGCGGAAGAATCAATCAACACTTTAAGAACATGATTGGTTAAAAATAATTGTGAGGACTATAAAATCATGTGTTTGATTTGGTCACTGAAATAGAATAAAATTTGAGAAAATTGTCAAAAAAAATCTTTAACTGTTAAAAATGCCAGGAAAACCCCAACTTTTATTGACTTTTAATTTTAATCGTAAATTGTTTTATTGAATTTCATTTTAATCACTAAATTTTGTTGACTTTGCTAAAATAGTCACGTCGTTAAATTGACTGACGGAGTAAATTAATGAGGTTAACTCTCTCTTGAAAATTTCTGTTAATCTACACAACGGCGTTGTTTTGATTTTAAAAAAATAATCTGCATGCAATCTCTACAACCTATCATCTTTGACTGTGGCAGTTTTGAAAGATGATGAAGGCACTATTTATAGTTAGTTGTAAATACTATGTCAAATATGTGCTTTCGGGGCTAATTGGCAATGGACTTTGAAGACTTTTAATTGATTTAAAAGTCTTTACAGTTACATTTTAACCAATCAGACTTTTAAGACTTTATTAATTCCAGTCTCTCCATTTACTCTTTAATTCCAATTTTTTTCTAAAGCCTCTCAAAAGAGACTTTTACTTTGAGAAAGAGAATAACAAAATAAAATTTTTATTTTTCTTCTTTCCCCATACAATTTAAAAACTCTTTTTACAACTAATTTTATTTTATTATTAAATAATTTTGATTGATTAATTCTAATTTTATTTTTTCTGTTCTTTTGAGATTTAGTTTGAATATTTTATTTTAATTGGTGAACATTTAAGATAAGAATATTTATATATATTCAATTATTAATTAATTTTGTATTTTAATTTTTTTTATCATTAATAAAATGTAATTTGCCATATTATTTTATCACATGAATTTATTTTTAGCATATTTACTATTTATAATAATATTTACAGTTTCTTTTGTTACCAATCAGATTTTAACAGTCAAAGTCTCTACAGCCAAAGTCTCTACCATCAAAGTTTGTACAGCCAAAAGAGGTGATTGACAATGGACTTTCAAGGCTTTAAGAGTACTAGATGAATACCCACGCTACGCGTGGGTTTGTTTTAAAAGTTGTTAATAACAAATTATTTTGATTGTTCTTGTTGCTAGTTAATCACCCGCTTTATGCCGTGGTTTTTTCCGGTTTTTTTCTATTTTGATTTATTTGATGTTATATTTTGAGAAATATAATTTTTAATTATCTAATCATTTACTCATACAATGAACAACTACTCTTAGTATTAAAATACATTTTCAACCAACATACTCAACAATGCATCACTCACACAATCCGTAAACAATCTTTCCTAAACCAATTTTATAGATGGTAATGTTGGGATTATAGAACTCCAAAATTTGATGACCTTACGTACTCTTCACCCTCAATGTCATATATAGATCAAAAAATGAAGAGAAAAACTTACTCAAACCATTAGCTAATCCACTATACTATTATCCACTCATATTTTGAGTTAAGATTACAAAAATTAGGGAAAAAAACTTTGGAGTATATAAAACCAATAAAATAATTTCATGAAAAAAAACATAAAATAACAAAATAAGTTAGTATTAGTAAAAATCAATATGTAAAATTAAATAATATATAATTAAATAATAAATATATTATTAACTTGTGAAATTGATTTTCAAATTCATATGGGTCATCCCTCATGGGCTATTGTGTTTTCCCCATTTGACATTTATAATTAGAAGCTCATGTGTAAAAAATAAAAGCTGACTCATATTAATGAAATGTTTTGATTGGATGGAAAGAAAGCTGATGTGGCATCTCCAGAAGAGCCTAAAATGCTGACGTGGCGATCATATGGAGAGAGATAACCTCCTTTCATATATATGATTTTTAAAGTCCTTACAGTTTGTTTTTTGCCAATCATGCTTTTATGACTTTAAATTTTTTTAAGTTCTCAAAGTCTTGTTTTTTTTTTCTTCTTTGTTTCCCTTCTTTTTCTAAAGTCTCGATTACATGGCTTTAAAAAAAATAAAAATTAAAAACTTTCTTTTTCTTCTCCCCATAATAATTAAAAACTCTTGACAAGTGTACATAAATATTTTTCACAAATCGTTTTTGATAAATTAATTATTATCAATTTTCTATCTATCTTTATTTTTAAGATCCATTTTACAAATAGTTATTTTATTTTCATCATCACCATTAATATTCATATAGATAATTCAATTATTTCATTAATTACATCATCATTAATAGTTTTATTGATTTTTGATTACTCAAAATTATACAACTACTCACCAAAAAAAACATTCAAAGCAATTACAAAACAGTTTTTTTTTATTAGCCATATTAATCACTCAAAAATCATTCAAGAATCACTAAAAACAGTTTTTTTTTTTATTATTAATAAAATTTATTTTTGTCACTATGTTACAACAAAAGTATATAACAATGATGAATATGTATATATATATATATATATATATAAATTGACAATAACAGTTTCTACATCTTTTATTTACCAATCAGATTTTAACAGCCAAAATCTCTACAGTCAAAGTCGCCAAAGTTTCTAGAGCAGAAAAGTTTAAAGTCAAAACCTCTACAGCCAAAGTTAACAGCTCTTGCCAATCGGCCTCAAAGTCACTACAGCAAAAGTCTCGATAGCCAGAAGTAACAGTTGTTACCAATCGACCCCTTCATCATCTTTCAAAACTGTCAAAAATTTATAAGAAGTCAGGGAAAAGTTTTAACAGAAACACACAACGGCCAAAGCCATAGAAATAATTGGTGATTTTGATATGTTGTTGTGTTGGAAGTTGGTAACACCTAAAATTAACCAAAACAAAAGTGACGTATTCCTCAAAAATAGCAACACTAACCACCACCACCACAATTATCTTTCTTTTTCTAAACGTAGACACACAACGGTTAAGTGTCTTTAATTTTTCCAAACTGTATTTTCAGAGATAAACATGAACACAAACCGTGACAACAAATCGTGAGTTTTTGATACCTTAATTTCTCTGATCAAAAGTTAAAACAAACCCATCAGAAAAAAACATCAAATATGGTAATGATATAAGCAAAGTGGAGAAGCAATAAGAAGAAGAAGAAGGGTATGGAAGAGGGTCGTAGAGGATCATCTTCAACACCACAATCTCGTAAGATCATGGTGATCGCTGATCCGACCCGTGAATCTGCAGCCGCTCTTCAATACGCTCTTTCACACGCCGTGCTCGAGCAAGACGAGCTTATTCTTGTTCATGTTGAAAACTCTGGTGGTTCTTGGAAAAACGCTTTCTCAAGTTTTTTAAGATTACCAAGCTCCATCTCTTCCTCTAGCAGCGGCTCCTCCCCCGCTTCTAACGGTACCACAACCGCTTCTAACGCGGCAGCAACCGCTTTAGCCTCTGAGATTGGTCAAGGAGATGGGAATTTCTTGGAACAGATGAAACGGATATGTGAAATCGCTCAGCCAAAAGTGCGTGTGCACACCGAGTGTATAGCTATGGAAGGCGTCAAAGCTACAGCGATTCTTCTTCATGGTGACAAGCTTGGCGTTGATGTTATAATCATAGGACAACGCCGGACAATCTCATCCTCCCTTCTAGGGTATGTTCTCTCTCCGTTAAACCAATTGGCAATGAATAGATTGGCGTATATTTTTTTATATACTAGTGTTGGTCCCTTTACATTTTTCGATACGGGATTCTAATAATGAGGATGGTTTGGATTGACAGAACTAGGAGGCCTGGAGGGTCACTAAGAGGTTCAAAAGGAGTAGACACAGCGGAATATCTAATCGAAAACTGCAAATGCACTTGTGTTGGTGTAACGAAGAAAGGACAAAATGGAGGCTATGTTTTAAACACCAAGACACATAAGAACTTCTGGCTCTTGGCATGATTATATGCATTGCTTCTAGTCAGTTTTAAATGCTTTCAGGTAGCTAAAAAGAACTGTGACAAAGAATAAGAAGAAATATAAAGGTTACCTCCACTCATCGATCTTTTCTTGTTTTTTTCCTCATCTCTAAATTTCTAGCAATGAAGTGTTCTTTTGTATGTTATTTTTCCCCTTCCATCATGAAAGTGTGGGTAACACAAGATCAACTGACACCAATGGAAATAAACGGATGAATAAGAATCTAGAGAAATGTCTCAAATTTGACAAAGATGAGAGAAGATTATGTTCATCATTTTGTAAAAAAAAAAAAAAGCAATGGGAGCATTAGATTAGTTTCAGCCAGTATCAAGAACCTTAAATCTTTAATGTACACTTGAAAAGAAACATATGTCGCCTTAACGTCCATCTTGCGTTTTCTCTTCTAATGGAATATCAAAACTCGGAACTGTATTACCATCAAAAAGGTTCGAGATGCATACCATTTTCAACACCTGCCTCTGTGTTTTCTTCTTGTCCAGCCATTTTATGGCAGTAGTAGCAATCTTTTGCAGTTACAGGATTCATATAGGCTTCGAGACCACAAACAGAACATCAGAGAAGAAGAGTACAAACCAACAATGAAAATCAACTTCTTGATAGTTTCTATCAAAAAGCCAAGTACATGAGAAGCATAAAAACCAACAACGAATTATAGTAATCAAAATTATGAATATATAGCACAAGTAATTGTTTGTGACATAATGGAACATAATGGTTTAGCAAGATTCATATAACTCTTGAGTTGTCAAATAATAGAAATGGACTAATCAACATACTTGAACACAAGAAAAAACACATAGTGCTCAATTTGGTCAATCAACACACAACAACAACAACAAAAACAATTATACTTCTGTTGCTATTATGAATTACATTTTTCACCTCCCCACCTCACTAATCCTCACAAAATTATGAAATTATTGTTACCCCACAGATGAAACTAACCGGAAATAAGAGATTCAGAGAATTGAGAATCTTGTTTTAGAAAACCAAAGAGTAATTGAATTATCCTGTAATTCTTACTTTTTAGCTTTGAGATCGATTCAACGGATTTGAAATGAAAGGGTGTTATCAATGAGGCTGAGGGAGGCTCATGGGTTTGATACCGAAAATAAACAACTTACAAAAAAGCTCCGTTGCCGGGACTCGAACCCGGGTCTCTCGGGTGAGAGCCGAGTATCCTGACCAGCTAGACTACAACGGATTGTTGTGCTTTACGCGTCTTTTAAATTTATATCATCAAATATATTTAAAATATTGACGTTTTGACTTTCGAATTTACCACCTTTGAACGTGCGAAGATCATGTAATTTTTTTTTATAAATGAAGAAAAAAATTTGTTTAAACCAAAAAATCTTGTTTCCATTATATCCATTTTTCATAGAATGTTAATTAAAAAACAAAAAACTAAAAAGACGATTACAAATTTTGGAAAATACAGTCCAATTATATCAGTCTCTTGAATCGAGCCATATGCGGAGGCCCAGCGTAAAACTAAAACCCGTAAAACAAGAGATTTACGCAGCATATATGTATACAACAATTTAGGGCATCAATTTATTGGAAAGTTATTTGTGATAGAGTGGTTAGCATCTTCACTTTCACCGTAAAGATGTTGGGTTCAAATCTAAATAGTGTACTTTTTATATAATTTTTTTGTGTGGACCAAAAAGAGATTTTGCTTTACGCAGCAATTTACCTTGGGCAGGCCTGCATATGCCTATTCCATCTTCAAATTTGTAGTGTTCAGAATTCTAGAGTGAGCAAAGCCTATTATAAACCAGTGTTCGAAAAACTTTAGGTTTTGCTCATGTGGCTCTTGGAGTTCACCGTGGCGTCTTAGATTGCGTTTTCGCCAAATGGTATGAACGGATGCTTGAGAAACATATCTTAGCATGAAACGGGTAGATGAGTTGAAATTGAACCTGATATGAGAGAGAGAATACCAACAAAGCTGCTGGTGTATCGGTTTCGAGTGAGCTTGTTAACTTGTAAGAGGTTAAATACTTGGCCAGTTTTTTTTTTCTTTTTTTTTTCGGATGAATTTGATTATACACACAACTTAACTAATGCATTTATCGAACCATGCTTGCATGTTTGAAGGATGGTCGCCCTCTTTTGCAACGCAAAAGGCTTTGTTTCTTACACATAAACATATCCACCATTATGAAAAATCGTAAAGTGGTCAAGAGATGTATCTTTGTGGATCCTTCGCTTTTTCTCCCTATAGTTTATATATATAGCTGCTTGTCAAAGAAAAAGAAGAGTTTGCTTTTATTCCCTGATCTGTCCAATCAATACCAAAGGTTTGGCTGAAGTTTATGCCTAGAGGAGATCACAAAATTCGCAGACAAATAACATATGGTCTCGCGTCTCATGCTCACGTTTGCATAGGATGCAGAGTTTATAAACACGCATGTAAACTGAAGATTTACATCATTACATGCATGTAAAGTATATGGGTTTTATATATGTACCCAAAGTTTCCCAAACTGATCCAAACAAGCTTACTAAAGGTCAAACAAATTTTAATGAGTTTAAAAACTATTGCTGTTTGCAATTGCCTTGAATTTTTATATTTTCTTAAAAAAAATGCAAAGAGAATCAAGCAAGTTTTATTGTTTATAAAAGAATTAAATATCAAAATAAAATGTATAAATTTTGAGATAGAAAGTGATCTTTCACATAATGGTGCAAAAAGCACTGAGATGTCCAACAGCAAGTGCAACTTCCATTGCTCTCAATGCATTCCACCACCCTATCTGCAAACCACACTTCCCCATTCTCATCACGTTAAAACACAATTAATTTGCTTCTATTATTAATAGTACTTGAATACTAAAAAATAATAAGAATGACCATTTGTTACAACAACAATAACTAAGAAAAAAAATAGATGTAAGAAAGGCTTACCCTCGAAGGTTGCTGTTCGGCTAGGTTTTGATCGCCGGGCGGCTGGTGCACCATTTAGAACATAACCATATCATCAATACTTGTTTGTTTCTATGCACCATCATTTATTTATGCGAGCTATTTATACTTTTTAAAGAAAAAAAAAGACAGATTTGTATGCTTATTTCATAACCATGAAGGTGTGGTTTCATTTAAAATTTGAAAGAATTTTAGATGGTTATTTTTTGTTTCATTCTGGTTTGGTTTAACAATATTTGTTTCTAGTTCATTTTGGTTACCTTGGGTCGATCAAACTCTAGGTATTTGTTTAAAAATTTTGATAATTAAAGAGATCGACGTAATAAAGAACGAATTTTTTTGGGTTAACTTTGAATATATATTGAAATCACTTGACTAAATAGTAAAACACATTCCTTTTTCCAAAAAAAAAAACTTTGAATATATTGACTATTCTAAGTTTGATTTCTAATTATATATGTCCCACTAATTAGTCCTCCTTCGCACCATGCACGTCCTATATTATTAAGGATTGCTAATATTGAATGCGATAATCATTCATACAACATGTTGACTTTTCATTGATATAATCATCCATATATATAGTATAATGTTATACTACATAAATAATTTTGAGAGACATGATCATTTATGAAAATGTTGACTTTCTGTCTACAAAGTAAAATCGTGTTCACTTTTCAGTTTTCACAATGAATTCTAAGGAAATAAATGTAAAAGTTAATTTGGTACAACTATTATATATACTAATCATGAGCTTTTTAGGCCTAAACTATCAATTAACAGCGACACGTCAACAAATGCGATTTATGTTTATAGCTATTAAAAACGCATAATTCCAAAACGATTGGTTAATGGAAAACGATTGATGAAGTCAACGTACCAAAGGATGGTGGATACGCCTAGATCGTAATAAGACATAACTATCCAAGAAGAGACGATGTGGATGACAATAAGTCCGACGCATATAACACTTGACGCAAAGATCAAACGTGTTACCACATGGAGACTCAAAGCATGTGACACAGGTGAAGTATAGACCATTGAGAATCCGGAGGCACGTGCGGCAGCTAATGGTCCGGGTCCGAGCCACGTAGTAAAGCGTCAAGACCTCCCAAAAGTCGAGCTGACCATCTCCATTTCGGTCTAGCTCGCGAAACATCTCAGGATGGACCCAAGCTAAACCAGCGGTTTGACGCAAGAACTCGGTGTACTCTTGAAGGCTGACACGACCGTCTCCGTTAACGTCCATTGCCCGGAAAAACTGCCACGACAAATTCTGCTGTTCCATGGAGCCATTGTTGTAATAAGCAATCGCGGCTTCGTGCAGCTCATCCATTATTTGTTGTATAATTTTGAAAAGGTAAGACAAAATGGAATCTATGGTTTGTGGTATATATGTGTTTGCGAATTTTATGAAGAGGAGACTTTTGTTTAAGTCAAATGTCAATGTCTAGTTGTTGTAGTGTTAGTTTAGTGCGTAAATCACAACTTGTTCCATGTGATATACAAGCCTGTAAATAAAATCCAAGAACAAATATTAAGATTATATGTGTATTAAATAATATAACCTAGCTGTCTAATTGGTTTCTTCCAGAATAAAACGCCATTTTATTACACTACAAAAGCGATGAAAAGTTTCTTCCTCGGTCCGAATAGAAGGTCTAGCTTCCCCCATAAAAGTTTCTTCTCTAGTGTGGTAGACTTCACTACTAATCTAGTATTGCATATATAATATAAGTGTCTGAAAGAGCTTATTTATCCTTATAAACATTAGGCACGTAATTGCATACGAGTTATGGACCATAACTTATGGTAAAGGATCGGCCAATGTTCGTGAGAAGTCTTTTATGAACTTTTTACAGAAATATGCATCACCCAAAAAAGTTTCATTCGCTTCCATTTATTCTGGTGGTTGCTAACTTGGCATTACGTCATTGTACATTTTGAGAGAAAATCCACAGAAATAAGAGTGACGAAAGTGGAAGATATTGTCACGTGGTAAACAAGAACATATTCGCCAACCTAAAGACTCAACCCTCTTCGTCTAACAAATTTAAATACATTATCACAACAAAAAAGCTTTATGTATTATAGTCCTGCTTTATTCTCTCAATTATTGCATTGGTGCATAATAATACAACTATGTTTTATGGAGATGATGACGTCATTAATCTTGATATATAGCAACTTCGACTGTTAAAAGTAAAGCAAACGTAAATTAACACAATCGTTCTAGCTTTGTAGCATCAAAGTACATTAAAAATATATTGAACCGATCCTATCAGTACGTGCAAATCCAATATAATTGGAAAAAAAAAATCAAAATATAGCTTCAAACTTACTATTTGTTATAGTGTTTGAGTCAAAATTAAATATGTGTATATGTAGGGTTAAAACTCCACCCTATGTACTAAGAATAGTATGTAATGTTTTCAAACTTTTAGAGGAACAAACCAAAACTTGGTTCAAAATCTAGCAAATTGAGTTTTGTTATTATCATATTTTTCAAATACTATGTGTATTTGATTCTTCACTGTTTTATGGAAAAATGGGTAAGAAAACCATGGCATTTCCTAAAAACATGTAAAAATCCTCAATTTTTTTTGTCGGTTTTTAAACTCTCACTTTTTTTATAAATGGTCAAATAAACTCTAATATTAATAAACTCAACTTCATTTTTTAAAATCGTAATATTAAAACAGTAAGAAACAAAAACAATTTTATTTATGACTTTGTTTTTCAAATTGGAGTTTATGATTTTTTTTTCTAAAATTAGGGTTTTTGCGCTATGAAAATTCATTCACCATTTAGTTGAGATTAGGCAATTTATTTTTGTTACCATTAGAAGTTATGTTATATAAACTACAAAAATTTATAAGATATCACAGTTAATTTTTTTTTGTTCGAGTGTTCAGGTTTTGGATAAAAATATAGTTAAATTTTAATTAAATGTAATTTATATTATATTTTAATATATTGTAATATATATTAACTCTTAGTAAATCTTATTTAGTTTGTCCAATGAAAATATTTTGATGTGGAAATTCATGTACTTTTCGCAGTACTATAAAATTTGGTTTTGTTTCACGTAAATTTGTGTGATCAAACCGAATCAACCTTTATTACTATAAACTCATATTCGGTTTGATATAAGAATTTACATATAATTCTTATAAAATCTGTTTGGTTTCACGGTGATAAATTTTCGTAACACAACCGAATAAAACTTCACTAATTAATTTTTACATCATGACTTAAAAAATTTTAATTTAAAAAAGGATTGTAAACTAGAATCTTACAAGAAAAACCCTTAATCAAATTGTTTATATTTATTTATGTTTTAATATAACGATTTTTTTAATTTAAAATAAATTTATTAATACTAGGGTTTATTTTACCATTTATGAAAATGTGAAGGTTAAAAAACCCACAAACAAAAATTGAGGGTTTTTAATATGTCTTTAAGAAGGATGGAAGTTTTTCTACCTACTTTTCTCTGTCAATTGAATCCTATTACCGTTATATATGTATTCTTTGTTTTATTTTGGCTAAAATTTATACTAATATTCAGGATAGGTGGAAAACTGAATAATTTTACTTTATCAACTATGATCGAAACTGATGTAAAAAAGAAAGAAATAAATCAACGATGATCGAAATCACAGTAAAAATATTTTAAAAATCTTTTGCACCCTCTACAAAGAATTTCAACTATGTGAGACCATATTTAAAGCAAAGAGGACTGAAATGTGCACACATCTCTGAATTCGTTCTATTGTTCCATCACTCACTCAAGATATATGTGTTTAAGTGTTTTTTTGTTGTTGTTGTTGTCATAAGATATGTGTTTTAAGTTTAAACTTTGAAGAATGTTAATTTACAAATTCTTTGTTATTTTTGTGAATGGTAAAAAAAGGTTAATTAGGAAGACAAGTATCACGTGAATAAAATTTCAATGTCACCAACCTAATGACAATTTTATTTCTCTTTTTGTCACCTACCTATAGACTCTAAATCCCAAATAAGTCAAGCGTTTGTGTTATATACACTTGTACACGAATTTATAACCCTTTAGGTTTAACAAACACACGCCTCAAATCTCTCTCTTTTACACCTCCGCACACACACAAACCTGACGAAGAAGACGAAGACGAAGAAGAATCAATGGCTGCTTCATCTGTAATCTCCTCCTCTAGCTTCCTCTGCAAATCATCATCCTCCAAGGTTTCAAACTCCATTTCTTTCTTCTCTTACTCTCTCTCCGATTTCACATTTTCTCAATTTCTTATACCTTTTTCGAATTTCGCAGAAGGATTTAGGGATTTCTTCGTTTCCTAAATCTTCACAGATTTCGATTCATCGATGTCAGAAGAAATCGATTTCTCGGAAGATTGTTTCTGTGATGGCTCCGCAAAAGGATCGGTCTCCTGGAACTACAGGATCGGTATCGACCTTCTTCTTCTTCTTCTTTTTCTCTCGTTTGATTTTTCTGATGTGGTTTTTTTTGTGTGGGATTTTTTTCAGGTGAAAACTGGGATGACGATGACGGAGAAGATTTTAGCTAGAGCTTCTGAGAAGTCATTAGTTGTTCCTGGTGATAATATTTGGGTTAATGTTGATGTTCTTATGACTCATGATGTTTGTGGACCTGGTGCTTTTGGTATCTTCAAGAGAGAGTTTGGTGATAAAGCTAAGGTACATATTATACTATGACTGGTTTAGTTTAGGTATACAAATTGAGAAGAGATTTGATAGGTTTAGTTTAGGTATTGTTGAATTGGTGATCACGATCAATGGATTTAAGAGTTTGCTATGAATGATTATACTATGTTGCTTGTGTAACTTATTGTGATTGTTTACTTACACGTTGTAGGTTTGGGATCCGGAGAAGATTGTGGTTATTCCGGATCACTATATTTTCACAGCTGATAAGCGTGCGAATCGGAATGTTGACATCATGCGGGAGCATTGCAGGGAGCAGAATATCAAGTACTTTTATGATATCACTGACCTTGGAAATTTTAAGGTATGATGGTTTCAAATTTTTATGGTGTTGCGGAACTATGATTTGCATATTTGAATTAAATCTGTTTCCCTTGCATCTGTAGGCTAATCCTGACTACAAAGGTGTTTGCCATGTCGCACTTGCACAAGAAGGTCATTGCAGGCCAGGAGAGGTAACAATCTTTTTAACTGGATATGATTAGCTTTCTTCTAGTTGAATCTGGCGTTGTTTGGTTCTGTTCTAAATGATGTGTTTCTCTATTATAGGTTTTGTTAGGAACAGACTCTCACACTTGTACTGCTGGAGCATTTGGTCAATTTGCTACAGGGATTGGAAACACTGATGCAGGCTTTGTGTTAGGCACTGGAAAAATCCTCCTTAAGGTTTGTTTAATAGCTGATTCCTCTGATTCTCTATGCTATAGGTCTGTTCAGCGTGTTAAATGGAAACCTGTTTCAACTTGAAAAGGCTTGTTAGAATAGTTTCCCCCTTCCCAATTTATACTGTAGTTTCTGAAGCTCATATCCTGACTTCGCAGGTTCCCCCAACAATGAGGTTTATCTTGGATGGTGAAATGCCCAGTTATTTACAAGCAAAGGATCTGATCTTGCAAGTGAGTGTGATATGTTTTATAGCATTTATTTCCCTTTTCAGCTTCCAAAAATTTTCACAGATCATTTTTGACAGTAGTATGAGGTTGCACCTTCTGATGTGCTCTAGTCATGTCTGTACATTGCACTTTTTGATGTGTTCTAGTCATGTCTTCACATATTACTGTGAAGTCTCTAAATTGATAGTTTATTTATTTAGTGTTTACTCTTTTGGGATTCTATCTGGCGTCCTGCATCTTGATCTTGAACTTACTTCAAACTTTGTAGATCATTGGTGAAATATCTGTTGCTGGTGCAACTTACAAGACGATGGAGTTCAGTGGTACAACTATCGAAAGTCTGAGTGTAAGAAATTATGCTGTGTTTCCTACATTTTATGGGTCCTTTCTCCTATGAGAATAAAAATAATAGCTGGCATATGATGTTTTTGATTTATAAATTGCTGCTTCAATCTTTTTTGGCTTCTAGATGGAAGAAAGAATGACACTGTGCAATATGGTTGTGGAAGCTGGGGGAAAGAATGGTGTCATCCCTCCTGATGCGACGACATTAAACTATGTTGAGGTATGTATACTGTCTTGTTTTCTTGTAAATCATGTGTTTCTTCAAGGAGCTTTATGTTGATGTGTATAATCTTCTTATATCTTCTGCAGAATAGGACATCTGTGCCATTTGAGCCAGTTTATAGTGATGGAAATGCAAGGTACGATCACATGGTACCCTAGAATTTCTAAACAGTAGGCT